TAAGCCCCACAACTTACCAAAAAAAAAAAGAAAAAGAAAAAAGAAAGGATGGAGAAAAGACTTGGGCTCATGGAACTACTGATCCCTTTAAGAGGGAACCTAGAGGGGGTCCCTGAGACCCATCCTGCATCTCACTCTCAAGGGCACAAGTCAAAGGGCTGGTAGTGGGAATGGAGGTGATGTAATAATGGTAAATGATCTCTGGTTTGGAGGTGATCAGAGAGAGAGAAACAGAGAAGCAGAAATCAGGGAGGGGGAGGGAGGAAAAGAGGGAGAGGGAGAAGAGAAGGAATGAAGGAGAGAGGGAGTGAAGAAGAGAGGGAGGAAGGGAGAGAGGGAGAGAGGGGGAGGGGGAGAGGGAGAAAGAGGGAGAGGGAAAGGGAGAAGAAGAGGGGGAGAGGGGGAAGTGGGAGAGAGGGGGAGAGGGAGAGGGGGAGAGGGAAAGAGAGAGAGAGAGAGAGAGAGAGAGAGAGAGAGAGAGAGAGATGGGGGAGGTGGGATATGGAGATCGTTACAAGGCAAGAAAAGTTTCCTTCCTAGAGGAGATAGCTGGGAGGTTTATGGCAGAGGTGTTGAGTATATTAGACTTTTCCAGAAAACCATGCACACATCTAAGTACAAAGAACCAAGAAAAGGTTTATTGCTGGTAAAAGGAATGGCAAGACCCCTTCTCACAAGAGAGGAGTGAGAAGCACTGGTTATCATCTGCGCTGACCTATATAACCTACTGAGGCTAGGAGGGCTAGGAGGCAGAGACCAGGATGTGTGGACCAGGGGCTTCAGCATGGTGGACTAAGATTTATGGCTGCTGCCCAATAGTAGATAAAGGGTCCTGCAGCTGCCCAGACCTGAAGGTCACTCTAAGGGGCTTTATATGGTGGTAGCTGCCCCAGAGGAGTGCCATCCCAAGGTAAAGGGGTTTGGAGGCTGATTATTTATTGCCTTTACTCCTTGGCCTAGTGTTGCTTAGGAAGGGAGCATGCCAAGCTGTGGAAAGGGGAAGGAGCATGCTAAGCTATGGGAAGAGAGCTCATTGGGCTAACATTCCCAACTTTTTGGTTTAATAATTGAATGGGGGCACCAGATCAGGAGTATGGGTGAAGGTCATTTCTTCTGGAGCTGCTTCCTGCTGAGAAGGGGGGTAAAATACTCAGTGGGGAACACTGACTGGGTGAAAAGTCTCATCTTCCCCACAAGAATGTTCTACATGCACCTGAGCAGGCAAGGCACAGTTCATATAAAGCAAAAAATTCCAGTTCAAGGAGCCAAGATAGACATGTGCCAGGGAATAAGCCACCTAAACAGGTCCCATACCCCTTTATTTTGTTGGATATTTTTTGCAAGTTCTTTGAGATGCCTGATTTGTTCCTTAAGGGCATAGCTGCTATCAGTTAGGTCAAAGAAGCACATGATTTCTTATGGTGGAATTAAGAGTAGGTAATCGGTGGCAGTGTGATTGTCAAGGATAGCCTTCCTATGTTCCTGTTTTGTTTTTGTTTTTGTCAGTCATGGGGCTTGAACTCTGGGCCTAGGTGCTGTCCCTTAGCTCTTCAGCTCAAGGCGAACACTCTACCACTTGAGCCACATGGCCCTCTGCATATAAAATGTGTTCATAGTTGGCACAAGTTGCCCCTTTTTAGTTTTATACAGATGTGGGTGCAATTTTGAACTGGGAACAAATGTTATTCTCCAGCATTATAACCCCTGGTGGTGTATAACATCAGGGCATCTGCCAGTCTCTCATGTGAAGGCTTTCCCCAATTACAGGAGCCAGCACAGATGGTATTTATATCTGCTGCAGGTTTGTACACTGGAAGCAAGCAGAACCTGAGCACATGTCCCATCTCCAGATCTTGCCTCAGACAAAAGTTAGAGGTATTGGTCATTTGGGCCGGGCAATACCAGATACTATAATGCATGTGGTCCTGCAAGGACTCCTATGAGGAGGATCCTCCATAATGGTATTTTAGGAGCCAGTCTGATGGGGCTGCTGTTCCTTGTTTTCTTTTTTCTTTTGGTCAGTAGTGGGGCCTGAACTCTGGGCCTGGGCGCTGTCCCCCAACTCTTCAGCTATAGACCAGCACTCTACCACTTGAGCCTCAGCTCCACAAACAAGAACAGGCAAATTCATTAGAACTGAGGAGGAGAAACAGGAAAAAGGCAGAGCTTAAATTTAGGATGATGAAGACTGCTGCCCAATAATGTCAAAGCCACCTCAGTGGCATTATATATGTGCAAAAATAGCTCAAATGTGTTAGGGTATGTCTATTTTGCCACAGAAATGAGATATAGTACCTTAATATCCCACTACAGTAAGGTCAGCACAAGGATCCTTCTCAAAATTAAGAATTATGATTTGCCACTTTGCATTTGTTAAGATCAACTGAAATTTCTTTCAGTTAAAACTCATGTAGTTAAAAGTATAAACTTTGGTAAATGATGCATTTCAGATATCAAGTAAAAAATCTTATGATAAAGCAAGGTATTACAAATTTTAAAATATATGCTATATAAAATTATGACAATTTTTGAATTGTTACCAATATGTCAGTATCCTCCCTGTTAGATTATTAGACTTTTGCCAGAAAACCACACAGACATGCAGGTACAGAGAGCAAAAGAAGGTTTATTGCTGGGAAACGGGCCAGCAAGACCCCTTCTCACAAGGGAGAAGTGAGAAGAAACACTGGCTATTGTCTGGGGTGACCTATATAACTTACTGAGACTAGGAGGGGCTAGGAGGGACTAAGCAGCAGAGACCCTGGTGTGGACATGAGGGCTAGGGGCTTCATCATGGTGGACTAGGATTGATGGCTGCTGCCCAAGTAGTAGATAAGGGACCTTGCAGGTGCCCAGACCTGAAGGTTCACTCTAAGAGGCTCTTGCTGCCTTAAAGGGTGGTAGCTGCCCCAGAGACATGCCATCCCAAGGTAAAGGGGGATTGGAGGCTGGTTATTTACTGCCTTTACTAAGTGGGCCCAGTGTTGCCTAGGAAGGGAGTATACCAAGCTGTGGAAAGGGGAGAGGAGCATGCTAAGCTATGGGAAGGGAGCTCACTGGGCTAACAATCCTTATACTATATATTTTTTAAAGAAAAAACCCCACTTTATATTGATAGCTTTTCATTTTTTATTTTTTTATTTTTAGTACTCGGGTTTGACTCAAGGCCTTGAGCTTTCAATCAGCTCTTTCTGCTCATAGCTGAGGTTCTACCCCTTGAGTCACGTCTTCACTTCCAGCTTTAGGCTGGTTACCTGGAGATAGGAGCCTCTTGAATTTGTCTGCTTAGGCTGGCTTTGAACCTCAATCCACATATTTCAGCCTCCTGAATAGCTAGGATTATAGGCCTGAGCCACTGGCACTGGCTGCTTAATTTTTCAGATAATGTCTCAAGTTTTTCTCCAGCTGCCTGGAACCTCAGTCTTCACCCTATGGCTCTCACATGGCTTGTATTACACATGCGCGCCAATGGGCTTTTTCTTTTTTGACATAGAGCAGTTTGCCCAGGATGACCCTGAACCATGATTCTATCTGAATCTTCCAATTACCTGAAATTATACACATGCACTACCGAGTACTTCCCACTTCCTTTTGGGATAGTGCCTGGGATCGAATTTAGAGCCTTGTGCATGCTTGGTAAGTGCTTTCTCACAAGCTAGTGGTTTCTGTTATTGAAAAAAAGTTGTGCATTTTGTTTTGATTGGATCTTTCAAATTATGAAGCTGACCCTGGACCTAGCTTTGACCAAATCATCTAAATTCCCTGTGTAGCTTTCTTATCTCCCAAGTGGGGATATTTACCATGCTTTATAGAATTGTGTCTGTGGGTTTGTTCTTCTAGATATTGATTAGAGTTACCATTTTCCCTCATTTTTTAAATTGACACATAATTGTACATATGAGTTGTTTTTTTTAAACTTATGCCTCTTCCTGCAGTCTTCAAACACACACATTTCTTTTTTTGGGGGGGGGAGGGATCTGGTTGTGGGGCCTGAACTCTGGGCCTGGGCACTGTCCCTCAGCTCTTCAGCTCAAGGCTAGCGCTCTACCACTTAAGCCACAATGCCACTTCCGGCTTTTTTCTTTTTGCTTATGTGGTGCTAAGGAATCGAACCCAGGGCCTCATGCATGCAAGGCAAGCACTCTACCACTGAGCCACCTTCCCAGCCCATAAACACACACATTTCTTAAGTCAATATAGAGCTTGCTCATTTCTATTGGGCTTTCCTGACATTTGGGAAAGAAGCTAATTGATTCAATTGGTCTATACAATGCATTGAGGGTTATTTCCTCACAGACTCAGGGGCAAACTATGAACAAAAATGTATGCCCAAACACTAGACTCAGTCAACAATCTTAAAGTGTCTAATCTCAAAACAATCTTACTAATGAACTCCTGGACTTTGAAGGATGCCCAGCAGACAGGCGCTGAGAGCAGGGGCTCTGAGCAGGGGCCCCGGGCGGATCGCAGGGCCTTCCCATGGAGTACTGCCAAGAGATGCCGCAGAGAGAGGCAAAGGCGAAGTGTCCCAGCAGTGTGGGTCAGGTAGAGTTAGGACCTTCACCAGGCCAGTGATTATGAGTCAGACAGCCAAGGAAGGAGCAAGGCAGAAGCGGGGCCTGAGCACAGAACTCGTGCACAGAACACGCCTAGAGCACACTCAGCTCTCCGGGGAGGTCCCGGTGGTACAGGTGACCAGGTGCAGGGTGTGGCTAGGACTTTGGGACAAGCTCTTGGGTCAAGAAGCTGGCCCCAAGAGCGAAGCTGGCAACAGTTGCCCCCAAGCTGTGGGGGTAGCATTCTGTGAGGGTAGCCCCCTGCTGTTGGGGAGCAAACATCTCCTCCAAGGCAGGAGTGGGGTCCCCCCATGAGGGAGCTCCCTGTCCCTCGGGCAGGCCCTCCCTCCCACTCCTTCACCTTTGCCCCTTTCTAATTGCTCTGATCTCATCGCAGCCTGCAGTGCTGTTTAAAGTCCACAGACACTGTTCCCGTCCTGCCCACGTCCGGCCGGCGGGTGGGCCAAGCGGCGCCCAGGACTGCTGGGACCCTGGCTGGGGGTCGGAGGCCAGAAGCAACGATTGCCAACCTACCTGTGGGCAGGATGAAGCTGGGCCCGGGCGTCTGGGTGGTGGTGTGGCTGAGCCTGGGGGGTGGCTCGGCTCAGGGCGACCCCAGCCCCAAAGCTGATGAGTCCTACTCGGACTGGGGCCTCCGGCACCTCCGCGGCAGCTTTGAGTCGGTCAACAGTTACTTCGATTCCTTCCTGGAGCTGCTGGGGGGCAAGGACGGAGTCTGTCAGTACCGGTGCCGATATGGTGAGTGAGCCTCCCTGGGCCCATCCCGGCGAGCCAGTGCAGGTGCAGGGCGTTCAGTGAATCTGTACCCCAAATAAGCCACTCTTTGTAGTTAACCAGCAGGTGCACTTTCCAGAGTTTGGTGGGAGGCAAGTATGTGAGCTTAAGGCACCATTAGGGAACTTGGTGTGGGTACCCACTCCTGCATGGCCCGACTCGGTGTGTCTCCTGTGGGGCTCCTAGGCCAAGAAGGGCTGGGCCATTTCTGAGGCAGATGGAAAGCTTTAAAATGTGTTGCTGAGGATTGAACCCAGGCCTTGTACCTTCTACCATGGAGCTGCGCTCCCAGCCCCAGCCTATGCTTTTGAAAGCAAATCGTCTCAAAAGTCTGATGCTTTAATTTATCCAACGTTCCCTTACCAGGCTAGAGTTGAAAATAGCGAATCAAGTTAGCCTACCCAGGAAAAATCTATTTGAGAAATTCTCCAGTCAACAGATAAAACTCAGCTTTCCAGAGATAGCCAGAACCACCATCTCCTTGTCAGGTGTGAGGAGAATGGCCTCCTTACACACTGGCTAGGAGAAGATGGGCAAACATCACTCGGGTTTAACCACAGGAGGGTATGGTAAAGAAAGTAAAACATTCGCTCCATCCAAACCTGGACGCCTAAGTCACACATTTGCCCCAAGTGCCCTGGACAGCCACAGAGGCTTGTTGCTGCATTAGGACACAGTTTGCACTGGCCCAGTAGGAAAGGGTGAATGCATTTCAGGTGGCAGAATCATAGTACATGCAGCAGGAGGATTTTATTTTTAGGATACCAAGAGCCAAACCCCGTTCTTCCTTCTTTAGGATAACAGAATGACAAATTTCAGCACCTTGTGGCTGGCAGAGGGGGGCTGGCAGAGGGGCAGAGCAGATGTCCCCAGCAACTGGTGGGGGAGGGGAATAGTCAACAGAGGGAACAGGAAGGCAAATAACTGCTCTCTCTGGACAAAACAGAATCCTGCAAGGAGGGGCCTAGCAAGCAGGAAAATAACGGGTTACCTTTGGAACTCCTGGAGAGCAAAGCCAGAGCTCTGCCCAAAGAGGACAAATAAGAATGTGCTCCATATTTCCAACAAAGAACACCTAATCCTTAACTGTTTCTCTACTCCTTTTCACTTTGTTTTGTGACCTACCTCTGGTACACAAGGCCTCTTTTCAGAGTAGTGGCTCTCAAACTTCATTGACCCTTTGGGACCTCTGGGCTTTCACAGTTAGCTGGCCCCACCCCCTCACATTTCTGATTGGCAGGTCTGGTGGGCCAGTAATTTGCATAATGACTGCATCTCAAGTGGTCTTGATGCTGTGGGTCCTGGAGCCATAATGAGAAAGACAAGTACATATATAAAGTACAAGTATTTTTTTAATTGCCAGAAGAAACACTTTAGCAAACAGCCTATAAGAAAAAAAGTTCTATCAATAGACATTAATCACTGTTTACGCAGTGATGGTCTATCTTGTCTCTACACCAGAATCACCTGGGGAGATTTTAAAAGTCCAAACACCAAGTTCGTTAAGTGAGGACATCTGTGGATTGGGCCCTAAACATCAAGGTTCTTAGGTTTCCCAGGAGGTTGCAAAGCACAGTCAAGGCAAAGGCATACTAAAGATGTAGAGAACTTCAGTGGGTTAAACTAGTCAAACAGGTAAAGGGGGGGTTTGCATGTCTACATTGCTCCAAGCTTCTTTTTCTTTGGGGGGGGGGGGGTCCAGTCATGGGGCCTGAACTCTGGGCCTGGGTGCTGTCCCTCAGCTCTTCAGCTCAAGGCTAGCGCTCTACCACTTGAGCCACAGCACCACTTCCGGCTTTTTTCTTTTTGCTTATGTAGTGCTGAGGAATCGAACCCAGAGCCTCATGCATGCAAGGCAAGCGCTCTACCACTGAGCCACCTTCCCAGCCCTGCTTCTAGCTTCTTATGTTTAAGACAATTTGTTTTCATGTCAGCATACAAGTACTTGTCAATTGGACTGGGTTGGAAACCAAGACTGCATGGGAGTTTAGTCTGGAACTGAAGGGTCTACATCAGTATGAACAGGATTCCTTTGGGAATCCTTTGTAAAATACAGATTTCCTTTCTCATGCCGAGAGTTTGACATGGTGGGTTTGTGGTAGGGTGGCAAGTGCTGGAGAGGAGACCCAGAATTGCATGCATGCCAGGCACATGCTACCACTGAGTTGTACCCACCCCCAAAGCTGAGCTTTAATGGGAGTTCCTTCAACCACGCTTGGAAAATTTCTGCTAATGGAAAACTCATAGGTTTGAATTGGGGAGCAGGGTTGTCTCATTGCTGGTGAACTTGGGCAAGTTATTTAGCTCCCTCAAACAGTTTTCTCATATACATATATAAAGAATGTTAATAATACAAACCCCAGTGGCTTTGGCAACAACCTCTCAGCTTTTGGAAGAAGTGTCTGGAAGCAATGTGATTGTTCTCTGCTATAGGAAAGTCTCTGGAGGAGAGCCACTCCAGAGCTCCTGGGTCCACAGAATTTAATACAAGTATTTAAAAAAGAAGTCCTTTCTAGGTTTAGTTGCTGAGAAAATATCTTCAAAGTGTCTTTAATAGCCAAATAGCATAGTATACAACTGTAATCTCAGCTACTCAGTAGCCTAGGCTACTTATTGAAACACCATCCTTCCCTTAGCTCAGGCTGAATTTGAGGGCGTCTGGAGGCCCACAGGCTGTAGATATTATATAATGGCTGTGTTCTCAATAATACATGCAGAAGAACCAGATGGTGGGGGAAAAGAACTCACCCTCAGGAAAACACAGCCCTTGACCTAGAACAGAAAGCCCACCGCTTTTTACTGTTGTGTGTGATGAAATGTGGGGTGAGGCCCTGGTCTGGGGCACAGTGGACAGGCCTGGAAGTGAAATGCTAGGTGTCATGTCTCACTATGCTCTAATTCCCTCTTGTTTGTCTTGTAAGTGTTTTATGGCATTTCACTTTACTGAGGTTTTAAGTTTTATGAGATCAAGTCTGTCTTTTTATAGCCTCTGAATTTGAAGTCTTGATTAGCAAGCCATCCTCACTTTAAGATTATAACAATATTCTGTGATTTTCTTCCGTGAAAACAACCATAGCTAATGCATAATAAATGAATATGGCTGTCTTCCCATTAAACTTCTTTATGAACATTAAAATGTGAATTTCATATGTCATAAAACATTATCCTTGTTTTGACTTTCCCCAAACCAAGAAGATAATATAAAACCCACTTTCAGTTGGCAGGTTACCCAAAGCAGGAGGTGGGCTGGGTGGAGCCATTCTTGACCTTTTCTGATTAGAGTTTCAAGTTGTCAGCTCAAGCCAGAAAATCAAAGCAATTTGTGCTTGCGGATACCTAGTTCAAAGCATCAACCTGAAAACGACTCCACTGTAACGTGATATGCCTGGACAATAACCAGCCTCCCTCCCTTTTATTCTTTTCTTTTCTTTTTTTTTTTTTTGGTAGGCTTCACTCCTAAGGAGATTTCTCCAATTAACATACAATATTTTATATAACAGAAATAACCTTAATTACCAGCAGGCCAGGGAAGAACTGCATTCTGTTACCTTTCAAACTGTGATATCAGAGTTGTACTTTTCATGAGATTTGGCTTTAGTTTTCCCTCCTTCCCTCCCTCCCTCCCTCCTTCCTCTCCTCCTCTTTCCCTTTCTCTACCCCCCTCTTCCCCCCCCCCCCCCTTAATGCCAGTACTGGGGCTTGAACTCAGGGCCTCATGTTCTCGCTTGGCTTTTTCTGCTCAAAGCTGGTGCTCTACCAATTGAACCACAGCTACACTTCTGGCTTTTTTGCTGGTTAACTGGAGATAAGAATTTTGTTGACTCTGCCAGGACTGGCATCAAACTCCAGTCCCCAGATCTCAGCCTCCTGAATAGCTAGTATTATAGGCATGAGCCACCAGCATTAACTTGTAAATTTTGTTTGTTTGTTTGTTTGTTGCTAGTCCTGACGCTTGAACTCAGGGCCTGGGTGCTGTCCCAGAGCCTCTTTGTGCCCAAGGCTAGTGCTCTACCACTTGAGCCACAATGCTACTTCTGGCTTTCTCTGAGTAGTTTATTGGAGATAAGAGTCTCAAGGACTTTTCTTTCCCAACTGCTTCAAGCCATGATCCTAAAATCTCAGCCTCCTGAGTAGCCCAGCTTCAAGTTCTTTATGTGCAAAAAAGTTAAGAGGGGCTGGGAGCTGGTGATTCATGCCTGTAATCCTAGCTACTTAGGAGGCTAAGATCTGAGGAATATGGTTCAAAGCCAGCCCAGGCAGGAAAGTCTGCAAGACTCTTTAACTATCAGGAAACTAGACTTGGAACTGTGGCTCACAGTGATAGAGTGCTAGCCTTGAGCAGAAAAGCTCAGGGACAGTGGTCAGGCCCTGAGTTCAAGCCCCAAAACAACAACAAGAAAATAGTATAGGATGCCACTCACCTTTGCTTCAAAAGCCTGGACCAGCAAAGCTAATAAGACAGAGCCTCATCATTAAATCTGGACACATTTTTCTCCTGTTCAAATTTGTTCTTGATGTCTAGAAAGGTAGTTTATACAGCACACTTGTAAAAGAACAATCTGAGGAGAGAAGCAAAAGCAATTTAGAGGGCTGAGAATGTGGCTCAGTGGTAGAGTGCTTGCCTAGTGCGCATGAAGCCCTGGGTTCGATTCCTCAGTATCACATAAACAGAAAAAACCAGAAGAAGTGCTATTGCTCAAGTGGTAGAGTGCTAGACTTGAGCACAGACAGGCTCAAGGACAGTGCCAAGGCCCCGAGTTCAAGCTCAAGGACTGGCAAAAACAAAACAAAAATTTAGGAGGGCTAAGGTGTGACTAGATGATTGAGCATGTATAGAATGCCCTGGATTCATATTATACCCCTCCACCCCAACACCACCACCACAAGAAGATAACAAGTAAGGGCCTACTCTGTAGCTATATGATTGGGACATAGGAATTTCTCTGAAAAACAAGAATGAAGATGAGCTCTTACTAAAAAAATCACACCCTGTGAACAAATAATCCACCATAATTTAATAAAGATTTAAAATGTAAGAATTAGCCAGATGTGGTGATACAGGCTTATAACCCCGGCATTCTAGAGACTCAGGCTAAGATGGAGAGTTTGAGGCCAGTCTGGGCTCACAGTGAGACCTTGTCTTAAAAATAAGGATTAGGGGGCTGGGAAGGTGGCTCAGTGGTAGAGTGCTTGCCTTGCATGCATGAGGCCCTGAGTTGGATTCCTCGGCACTACATAAGCAAAAAAAGAAAAAAGTCGGAAGTGGTGCTGTGGCTCAAGTGGTAGAGCGCTAGCCTTGAGCTGAAGAGCTGAGGGACAGCGCCCAGGCCCAGAGTTCAGACCCCACGACCGGACCCAAAAAAAAAAAAAAAAAGGATTAGGGTCTGGGGATGAGGCTTGAGTGGTAGAATGCCTACCTAGCAAGCATAAGGCCCTGAGTTCAAACTTCACTATCCTGATTTCTGCGCCCCCCCCCCCCCCCCGCCCCTTATTGTTGTTGCTTGAACTCTGGGTGCTATTCCTGTGTGCGTGTTTTCTTTCTTTCTCTTTCTTTCTTTCTCTTTCTTTTCCTTCCTTCCTTCCTTCATTTCTATCTTTCTTTCTTTCTTTCTTTCCTTATTTTCTTTCATCATGGGTTCATCATGGGGCCTGAACTCTGGGCCTGGGTGCTGTCCCTCAGCTCTTCAGTTCAAGGCCAGTGCTCTACCACTTTTTCTGGTGGTTAATTGGAGGTAAGAGTCTCACAGACTTTCCTGCCCAGGCTGCCTTTGAACTTCGATCCTCAGCCTCCTGAGTAGCTAGATTACAGGTGTGAGCCACCACCACCTGGGAATTTTTTCCTTTTTCTACAAGAAGTCCCTCCTCTCAATTTTCAGCTGGGCTCATGATGGCCTCCATTCCCTAGCCCACCTTTGCAAGTAGCTATTGAAATCAAGGGGTGGCAAAAAGTAAGGAGAGGTGCTGAGTGTGACATTCGAGTGTGTGCTGAACGACTGGAGCCTTTTTTTTTTTTTTTTTTTGTTCCGGTTGTGGGGCCTGAACTCTGGGCCTGGGCGCTGTCCCTCAACTCTTCAGCTCAAGGCTAGCGCTCTACCACTTGAGCCATAGCGCCACTTCCAGCTTTTTTTCTTTTTGCTTATGTGGTGCTGGGGAATCGAACCCAGGACCTCAGGCATGCAAGGCAAGCACTCTACCACTGAGCCACCTTCCTAGCCTAATGACTGAAGCCTTCTAACACCTTTCATCTGCTGGTAATATGATGTATTAGCTGAGCATGAGCCAAGGCAGCAGGCTAGGGCTGGCTGCTAGAGCAGAAATCTAGAAGCAACATGGGTTCCAGAGAAGTACAATTTCTGTACTAGCCTTGTGGTCCTCCTTCTGGATGGGAATTGTTTATTGTGTTTGAAAAGCTAGATAATATAAACATACAGGAGGTATAGTAAACATGTGACCGAAATTTCCACAATTTCAGGATTAAAGGAAGAACTAAGTAAATAGAGGAAGCACTGGGCCCAAGTTCAAGAGAACGGGGCCGCCTAAAAAGGCATTTGTCTCCAAATTAACCTGTAAATTCAATGGCCTTTTCATATAAACACTGGTAAGGTTTCTTGCAGAATTTGCTAAGCTGAATCTAAAACTCAAATGTAAAAGTACAAGAATAATCCACATACTTTTGAGGAACAGTTAGAAAGGGAGACATGAAAGCACAGACTAAGTGTCTAAAAATTAAAATAGGAAGATGGGGTAAAAAGGGGCCTCTGCTGTACCTGAACTCTAACATTAAATTAAATAGAAAACATTTATAGCAAACTTGGCAAATGTTAACATTTATTATGTTTGCATTGCATGGCTACCTAAGTGTTTATTTCTCTGACTTTTCTTCAGTTTTGAAATAATAATATAAAGTAAAAATAAAATATGTGGTTGGGGGAATATTAAAGAGAAGGAAGAAAGGGAAGGAAGAAGATTGGAGGGAGGAAAAGAGGAAAAAAAGGGGAAACGAAAGAGGATAGGGAGGAAGGAAGGAAAGAAAAAAAGAACTCTTAATTTCTATCCTCTTTCCTGTGTGAACTTAAACAAGTCATGCAACTTCTTAGTCCCCAGCATCCTTATCTGGATATCAAGAAGTTTTCTTGCAGATGCTTGTCCTGAAGGCCCCTCAGGTCAGGGCTACCTTTCCTTATAGTGACCCATTTTCTTGTGGTGTACACATTTGCAACAAAACAACAACAACAAACAAAACCATGTAGAAGGAAGAAAGTTGTTTAGACTATTCCTAAGTTCCTTGATCCAAATGCCTAAAATATTGCATCCAAATCAGCTTAAACCTTTTTTTGGTAAATATTTTATTGTTATTATAAAGGTGATGTACAGTTACAAATAAAGACTTCCTTCCTTCCTTTCCTTTCTTTTTTTGTTGGTCATGGGAGTTAAACTCAGGGCCTGGGTTCTGGCCCTGAGCTTTTGTGCTCAAGACTAGTGCACTTTGAACCACAGTACCACTTCCAATTTTCTGGGATTAATTGGAGAGTAGAGTCTTGTGGACTTTCCTGCCTGGGCTGGTTTTGAACTGTGATCCTCAGAGCTCAGCCTCCTGAGTGGCTAGGATTATAGGTGTGAGCCTCTGGTGCCCAGCTAGTGTATTCATTTTTTTTTTTTTTTACAGTCTGGGACTTGAACTCAGGGCCTGGGCACTGTCCCTGAGCTTCTTTTGCTCAAGGCTAGCACTCTACCACTTGAGCCACAGTGCCATTTGTGGCTTTTTTTGTTTGTTTCTTTATGTGGTACTGAGGAATTGAACCCAGGGCTTCATGCATGCTAGGCAAGCACTCTACCTCTAAGCCACATTCCCAGCCCTAGTGCATTTTTTTTTTTGGACAGTGTCACCCCTTCCCTCATTCTCTCCCAGCTAGTTTAAACCATTATGGTACTGTTAAGACTCCAATTCTGCAGTTTGTGATCCCTCACTGTATGTGTGCTGCACAGTGGCCTGAGGAATTAGAACTGGGAGGTTTTGCCTTCTCCTTTATCTTCAAGATTACCTTTTTTTTTTTTTTTTGGTGATGGGTCATGAACTCAGGGTCTGGGCACTATCCCTGAGCAATTTTGCTCAAGGTTAGTGTTCTACCATTTTGAGCAACAGTGCCATTTCCAGTTTTCTGGTGATTAGTTGGAGATAAGTCTCTCGGACTTTTCTGCCTGGGCTGGCTTTGAACCCCATCCTCAGATCTCAGCCTCCTGAGTAGCTAGGATTACAGGTGTGAGCCACCAGCACCCAGCTAAGATTACATTTTCAGAAAATCAATAGAACTGTTAGGAAATAAGTACTTAAATTTCTTGAGATTTGGAGGAAATTTACCCGACATTAGTATTTTTTGTGATATCACCACTATTTCTTGTGGATATCTGATGGGGACTTTTAGAGGTGATTTTTAGAGAAGAATGGAAAATGACTTTCAAAATTTTTATTTCTAAATATTTCTTCCTGTTCTTTCCTTGTGCTAGGAAAAGCACCGATGCCCAGACCTGGCTACAAACCTCAGGAGCCCAACGGCTGCAGCTCCTATTTCCTGGGTCTCAAGGTTCCAGGAAGTGTATGTATTCCAGTCCTGGTTCATGAATCATAACTAAGAGTAATCCATGAATTATCACTGATAGAAATGATCACTGATGAACTGTAACGGAATAATGAACGATGGGGTGTTGTAAATTGGATCTGAGGGAAGAGAGAATTTTGAAAGCTCTCTGGTTTCTTTTTCTCCGAGGCAGCTGTCTCTCAGATAAACCTTTGGTAGAAGTTCTCTGTGATCTCTGTGATGTGTGAAAACACATCACAACATAATCAAAAATAGATCTGACACAGTGGTCTTGTTAGTGAGCCTCGCCAGTGAGGGGCTGGAGAAGAAGGGGCTGTTATTCTGTGTGACTTCTTCCTGAGAACACTGGCTCAGCAATCCTTGGAAGAGCAGCAGCACAGAAATCTTCAGTTCTGCATCCAGCTGCCTGTGAAGCATATATGAGCAGAGCTTGGCCCTCTCCCAAACTGGGGGCCTCCCCTAAAAACAAGCCTGGGATTCATTTCCTTTTCAGACTTTTTTGGAAGCCCTTTGACCTTACTTTTAGAAAAGAGGACACATGTAAAATGTAGCTGGGGTTTCCTGTGTAAATTAGGATTTGGAATTGCATAAAACTAAGACAACTTCATTTTTTACGTTGACTCAAGGATTTATGTTTTTTTACTTTGCATTTTCTCTTTTCTTTTTTTGTTGCGGGGGGGGGGGGGAGTTTATGCAATAACGTTTATACTTGCCTACAGGATACTTGGTAAACACACACATGTGTGTGCTCAGGCAGTGTTGTGGTTTTACCACAGTCTGCTTGTGTTGAGGAGCTGAGTAGTCTGAACCCTACTTTCCTCCCTTATACATACACACCCTTAAAATAGTGCTCTCTAGAGAATGAAGGGCTCCCTAAAAAATACCAGTGACCTACTAATGTGTGGAGGCTCCATTTTTTAAAAATAGTTTTTAGTTTCAGAGTCCTTTTTTAAACAAAATCCCAGATGGAAATGTTCATTTTGACTCTAGATGTCCCAAAGCTCTATCATTGACTTCTTTTCTGGTCTCAGTTTTCATTGCCATCGCTGCCTGTGGGTTTGAAAATCACTAACATCTTAAAGAAAAGGATGAAAAAGCTCTGGAGTCACTTATTAAACTACTACTAAGTCCTTGGTGTTTCTAAAACCATCTCCCTATGTGACAGGCAATGAGAGCTGTCTGTTTACTAGTGAGGTGGGCAAGGTTGCCGACGGTCCATCTCTACGTGGTCTCAATGTGTCATTTCTTCCTGCTCTTTCTCCCTTGCCTTTTGCAGATGGACTTGGGTATCCCAGCAATGACCAAGTGCTGTAACCAGCTGGATGTCTGCTATGACACTTGTGGGGCCAACAAATACCGCTGCGATGCAAAATTCCGATGGTGTCTCCACTCCATCTGCTCTGACCTGAAGCGGAGCCTCGGCTTCGTCTCCAACGTGGAAGGTAGGTCTCCTAAGGACACAGGCTGGGATGAGGAGTTCTGTTTCTGAGAGAGGAGTCCAGAGCCCTTCACTCAGAAGCAGAGCTTGGTGAGCTGGCTTTCTGGAAGGCTGAGCTCCAAGCAGGGTAGGTGGAGGCAAGCACTACTTCACAAAAGTTCTTGCTGTCTTGCCCAGGGACTGCTGGCACCAATTCCTGATGGAAACGACCATACCAGTGCATTTCCAGAGAAATGAGATTCATCATTTACAACTGGAGAAAGTTGTCCAACTGGCTTGAGTTATCCATTCTACTGTTAAATTATTTTCCATACCCAGAGTCTCTCTTGGGTTGCTGAAACCCTTTTATTTTGTTCTCAGTCTGGGAAACCTTTATTTAAGTAGCTCTTCGTTCTTCTGTGAAGGTTTCTTTAGAATAATTATTTTTAAACACTTAGCTGCTCAGCTTCCAGTACTGACTCTTTTTCCTAATTTCCTTTAGGGAAAGTTTTCATCTCTCAGATTCTGGAGCCAAAACATGATAGATAGATATTAGCATTTAATTTTTTTTGTTTTCAGTGTTGGGGTTGAACTCAGGGCCTGGGCACTGTCCCTGAGCTTCTTTTGCTCAAGGCTAGCACTCTACCACTTGAGCCACAGTGCCACTTCTGGCTTTTTCTGTTTATGTGGTACTGAGGAATTGAACCTATGGCTTCATGCATGCTAGGCGAGCACTCTACCACTAAGCCCCATTCCCAGCCAACATTTAATTTTTGAATTGGTGAAGGCTGAACTTCAGGCTGATAAGGAGCTGGCCCTGTGCCACAAGAATACCAGCAGTAGGGGCATCTTAGATTTGGTTCACAGTGTTTGGAGGATAGTCCTGAAGCGAAGCATGAGGCCTTGGGAATATGAGTAATTAATGTGAGAACTATTCCACCCCTGTCTACAGAAGGGGAAAGATCAAATTATTTCTCCCAAGCAATAGCCTATTGATTCTTTCTACTAAATCTCCTAAATAACCCACTTGCCTGGTTTTTTGTCTTTGTTTTTGTTGTTTTCTGTGCTAGTACTTGCTCTACCATTTAAGCCACAGCTCCACTTACAGCTTTTTGGTGGCTAATTGGAGCTAAGAATCTCACAACCTTTTTCTGCCTAGGCTAACTTCAAACCAAACTCCTGAGTAGCTAGGATTATAGGCATGAGCCACTAGCAGCTGGCTTTGCCTGATTATAGCAGTACAGTAACGGAGTCTCTGGGTCCCTCCAATCCATTTTCTCCATTCAGATCAGCTCCATGTTCTTACCATGGGAACCTGGTAGTCTCCACACCCAATCAAAGACAATCAATAATTTAGTTTGACATGCATGCTCTTTCTGTTGCAGCTACAGGCTGTTCCTTCAGCACCATTTTGCATCTGCTGGAATTCTCTTCTGACTCCCTGCACACTACTTGGGTGAATGGTTCATTCCTTTCGGCCCCTTCAGGTTCCTCTGCTTGAGACATATGGCTCATTCACTTGCTAGTGTTGTTGAAACAAATGTTTAAACTACAATTCACCCATTTAAATGCTTGTTGGATCTGTTCGCAGAATTATGCAATCAACTCCACAATCAATTTCAGGATATAGTCATCCTCCCCAGATGGGACCCCTCCTAAGTCCTCTGCTCAGCTCAAGGCAACCACAAATGTACTTTCTACCTCTGTAGTTTGCCCATGGTGCACACTGCATACAAATGGAGTCCTATTATGTGTTCTTCTGTGAACAATTACTTTCACTTAGCAAGGTTTGTCTATACTGTACAATGTATCCATGTTTCATTCTTTTTTTGTTGCTGAATAATATTCTATTATGTGACTTTAACAAAACTTCTTTATCCAGTCATCAGTTGATGGATACTTAGGTTGTTTCCACTTTTGACTATTAATTCTGCTGCCATGGACAGTTATGTGTGAGTTTTTTTTTTTGTTTTTGGGTCCGGTCCTGGGGCCTGAACTCTGGGCCTGGGCGCTGTCCCTCAGCTCTTCAGCTCAAAGCTAGTGCTCTACCACTTGAGCCACAATGCCACTTCCAGCTTTTTTCTTTTTGCTTATGTGGTACTGAGGAATCATGCATGCAAGGCAAGCGCTCTACCACTGAGCCACCTTCCCAGCCCTATGTGTAAGTTTTTATGGCAAACTCTGTTTTCATTTCTCTTGAGTATATTATACTCTGAGACAGAAATTGCTGGCCTTGATACCATAATTCTATGTTTAATTATTTGAGGAGCTGCATCATTTTATATTAAATAAGGCTTCCAGCTTAGTTCTGGACCAACATTCATCAGATATTTTTATTTTACACCTTACAGCCTGCAAAGTAGTATCTCACTGTGGCTTTGTTTGCATCTCCCTGACAATCAGTGATGCTTTTCATGTCTTTATGGGTCATTGTATTCACTGTATATATGCTTGGGAGAGATGTCTCTTCACATCTTTTGTTCTGTGTATTACATATATATATATATATATGCATATACATACACATGTAGATAGTGTATGTGCTGGTACTGGGGCAAATGAGTCTATGCACCAGGTACTGGGCTTGACCTCAGGGCCTGGCACTATTCCTTAGCTTTTACACTCAAGGCTTGTATTCTACTATTTGGCTTACACCTCCACTTCTGGCTTTTTGGTGGTTAACTGGAAATGAAAGTCTCACAGACTTTTATGACTTGGCTAGCATTGAACCACTATCCTCAGATCTCAACTCCCTGAGCAGCTAGGATTACAGGTGTAAGCCATTGGCACATAGCTCCATTCTTGTTCTTTATTCCACTTTCTTAAATGGCATTATCACTGTTTTGAATTTTGATTAAGTTCAATTTATTTATTTTTCTTTTGTAACTTGTACTGTGCTGTACTTGCCTACCCCAAATCAAAAGATTTATGAATGTTTCCTTCTAAAATTTGTGTTGTTGTCACTCTCCCAATTAGGTCTATGATCCACTTTGGGTTAACATTTGTGTATAAGAAAGGGATCCAACTTCATTCTTTTCCATATTGATACTCAGGTGTTTATACACCATTTGTTGAAGAGACTATTCTTTTGTACTCTGTCAAAAATCAGTTGACCATAAGTGTAAGCATTTAGTTCTGGACGTTAAATTTTATTTCATTGATCTATGCCAGTAGATACAATCTTTATTATTATAATTTATAATTATTATACTTATACAATCTTTATTATAATTTTGTAGTAAAATTTGAAATCAAGGAACCAGAATCTTGTTCTTTGTCAAGATCGTTTTCAACGCGTTTCTATTAAATTTTGGCATAAGTTGTTGATTTCTGCAAGAAAGGACAGTTGTGGTTTTGATAGAACTTTTCTTAATGCTGCAGATCAATTTGAAGACTACAGCCTCTTTGTTTGTGACCAGTGAACAAAATTCTGAATGTCTTCATCTCTTTTTAGGTCTTCCTTAACTTCTTTAATTTTTTTTTTTAATCGGTCGTGGGGCTTGAACTCTGGGCCTGAGCGCTGTCCCTCAGCTTGCTCAAGGCGAGCGCTTTACCACTTGAGCTACAGTGCCACTTCCTTCTTTAATGTTTTATAGCACAAATCTTATAGTTTTAAGCTTACTTTGTTTTATTGTTTTTATTTTTATTTTTTAAATTTATTTTTCTTGCCAGTCCTGGGGCTTGGACTCAGGGCCTCGGCACTGTCCCTGAGCTTTTTTTGCTCAAGGCTAGCACTGTCCCTGAGCTTTTTTTGCTCAAGGCTAGCACTGTACCTACCACTTGAGCCACAACACCACTTCCACCTTTTTTCTGTTTACGTGCTACTGAGGAATCAAACTGAGGGTTTCATGCATGCTGGGCAAGCACATCCCCAGCCCATGTTTTATTCTTTTTAATGCTATTGTAAATGGAATTGTTTTCTTGATTTTTATGGTCATGTCAGTTGTTGATAACTGATAAACATTACTGATACAATTGATTGATTTTATATTGATTTTATTCTCAGCTGAGTCCATTTAATATTTCCTCTAAGATATATTCCTGAGAACGCTTACCTCAAGGGACAGTGATCCTTTCTGCGGGTATCCACACCACCTTGTGTTCTCTTCATCATGGTGTGGTACAACTATCTGTTGACCTATCCATCCTGGCCACCTCTTAGTCAAAACTCTGAGATCCTTGACTTGGAGATGATCTCTTTTCCTTCTGTATCTCTGATATTTAAGATAGTAATAACCAAAAAATGATTTACATCTCACACAGGGAAAGATCTAGGAAACACAACAGTGTTCTCTAAGGAGAATTCTATATAATGGTATGGGAGGTTCATATGATTTTGAACAGGGGTCCAGGAAAAAGAGGGCATCTTACAGTATACTCTATTAAATTGGATAAGAACTTATCTGAAAACACTTTTATTATTTAGTTGGGCATTGGTGGCTCATACCTATAATCCTAGCTACTCAGGAGGCTAAAGATCTGAGGATCATAGTTCAAAGATAGCCAAGGCAGGAAAGTCCATGAGACTCTTATCTCCAATTAAGCACCAAAATATAACTGGAAGTAGAGCTATGGTTCAAGTGGTAGAGCACTGGCCTTGATCACAAAATGCCCAGGTCCTGTGTTCAAGCTCCAGGATAGGCACAAGTTTAAAGAAAAAAAAGCAGGAAAGTCTATGAGACTCTTACCTTCAATTATATGTATATATATTTTTGGGGGGGCCTGGGCACTGTCCCTCAGCTCTTCAGCTCAAGGCTAGCGCTCTACCACTTGAGCCACAGTGCCACTTCCGGCTTTTTTTTTCTTTTTGCTTATGTGGTGCTAAGGAATCGAACCCAGGGCCTCGGGCATGCAAGGCAAGCGCTCTACCACTGAGCCACCTTCCCAGCCCTACCTTCAATTTTTTTTTTTTTTGGGTCCGGTTGTGGGGCCTGAACTCTGGGCCTGGGCGCTGTCCCTCAGCTCTTCAGCTCAAGGCTAGCGCTCTACCACTTGAGCCATAGCGCCACTTCTGGCTTTTTTCTTTTTGCTTATGTGGTGCTGAGGAATCGAACCCAGGGCCTCAGGCATGCAAGGCAAGCACTCTACCACTGAGCCACCTTCCCAGCCCCCTACCTTCAATTATATTAACCACAAAAGAAAGAAAGAAAGAAAGAGAAAAAAAGAAAGGAAGGAAGAAAGGCAGAAAGGAAGGATGAAAGAAAGAGAAAGGAAGGAAGGAAATAAAGGAAAGAAGGAAAGAAAGAAATGCAGCTATGGCTTAAGGGGTAGTGTGCCAGCCTTGAGCAAAAAAGCTAAGGACAAAATCCAGGCCCTGAGTTCAAGCCTCAGTATTGGCACCAAAAAATAAAAGCAGGCCTTTTCTTTTAAATCTGTATTAGATGACAGTCTTGCCCTTCCCTGAGTATCATGTCATCCTTGGAAATACACGATCTTGTCCTGTTCTACCCTGGCATGGCCCTCCCTGCTAACCCTTGTGCTTCTTTGTCTTTCTCAAGCAGCCTGTGATTCTCTGGCTGACACTGTGTTCAATACTGTATGGACCTTGGGCTGCCGGCCCTTCATGAACAGTCAACGGGCAGCCTGCATTTGTGCAGAAGAGGAAAAAGAAGAGTTATGAGGCCCACGTGGCTCTTCCTGGCTTGAATGATCCACTGCTGTGGTCTCAGTGGCATAGCACGGCATATGTGTGTCATCCTTCCTTCCAACAGTTTGGACCCTACAAAGCAAGAGAAAGGAAACAAGTTCTATCCTTGGAGAGAAGTTGAGCAAAGATGGAAGGTTGTTCTTCATTTCAACACTGGACTTCTGACCAAGACACTTTTGCCTGGCAATCCTATTTTCAGCTTAAAGACTAATGACAGCAAACCCTATGATTCCAGGAATGGGTTATTATACTCATAAGCAAAATTTGGGGGAGTCCAATCGTTTGGAAGACAATGACTTTCCTCTAGACCATGTTTCAGTTGCCAGTAATCACCTCACATTTAATAAAGCGTACTTTTTAGAAAACTTGGAAAGAGATGAATGAATTCCTTTATTCACTTAGAAGAGCAGAACCCAAACTGGTAAGTTCCACCCATTCCCATTGGGGCTGAAGAAGTAAAGGCAGGTGGGTGGGGTCAGAGGCTTACCTGCTGAAGGTCAGTGGAGGAGTGGAGGTGAGGTGGAATCAGGCCCCTCAGCTTCCATTTCTTCCTCTGGTGGCCTGGCCCTGGTGGTAGGGCCAGATACTCAGTGGTGTTAAGGTCAGGCTGGGATCTGAGAAAAGCTCCCTGAGACTATGGGAGGGAGAGACTGACACCTTTCACCTGAGTGGTGACTCAGCCCACTGTAGATTAGGATCACCTGAGGACCATTTAAAGCAAGCCAGTGAGGAATTCTTGGGCTCAAGCTTATGCACTACTAGTTGATAAATGCTCCCCAGGTGATCCTGATGCCAGAGGAGGGCAGAAGGCCACCACTTAGGTGAGAGAGTGGTCAGCTAAGTCCCCTGGGACAATTCCAGTTCAAAGCCAGTTTTTGTGCAGCTTTTCAGAGCACAGCCTTGTTCTATACTTGTCTTTAGCTGCTCTTGCTCTGTGTCATTCATCATGTCACAAAGACTGCATGGAAGGAGGGGCACAGAAATGAAGGAACAAATGGTGAACAAATGCAGCAGTGGTACTCACTAGACACTGTGGAAAATGGACTATACAACTTATGGGTGGGGATGGGAGGAAAAAGCAGGGAGAAAATGAAGAAAGAGGTAACATTGTCCAAAAAGAAATGCACTCATTACTGACTTATAAACTATCATTCCTCTGTATATCACCTTTATAATAACAAAAAATAATTTTTTAAAAGAAAGACTACAAGGCCCAGAGGAGCCTGAACCTCTTATCACATGGCCCCATTTTAGAAACAGGTGCTGACTTCTGGCCTCAGTCATTCCTTTGCTTCCTCTTACTAATTTTACTACTTCCACTTTTAAAAAGAAAAATTTTCTGATCTTATGTAAAGCCAACACATGAATTGGTACATCAAGAAATTGGAGCTGGAAGTGGATGGCTCACATCTGTATCCTAGCCATTCAGGATACTGAGGTCTGATAACCATGCTTCGAAGCCAATCAGGGCAAGAAAGTCTGTGAGACTCTTATCTCCAATTAACCATCAAAAAGCAGGAAGTGGATTTGTGACTCAAGTGGTAATGTACTAGCCTTGAGCATGAAAGTTCAGGGACATTGCCTATGCAATGAGTTCAAGCCCCAAAATACACAAACACACACACACAGACACACAAAATTGGATTCAACTTCAGATAACATTGATTCTTGTGGCTTATGTTTATTTTAATAAAATTTACTAAGCACCTGTGAAATAGAGTACATTATAATTCTATGCCTTGTTCTATTGTCTTGCTGACCTGAAGGTACTGATTACTGATTCATAGGGCATATGGGAGCATACTTTGCTTATAGTTAAATCACTGAACCACTTAAATGCTTCTTGATGAGCTTATTAATATTTATTAAGTGAAAATATTTCACTTAAGGCTATAAGAAAACCTCCGAAGAAAGTATTATGCAAGAGGAAAGCCAAATGGTAATTTATTATTATACAGCTTTTTATTAATAAACTTCCAAGTCTCCTATAACTATGGTGAATTTGAATTGAAATTTCAGGGTATAAATAACATTTACATGATTCAGGAGCCAGTGGGTATTTGAGTTCTAATTTAAGTAGCAATTTAAATTTTGTTGTTTTTTAGGTTTCTAACTTGAAACATCATATCCACCTTCTAACTTTGAAAGTCTTTTTGCACCATTCACAGACTATTTAATGTAGAAATAAGTGGAGAAGTGGAGGAGCCTGTGGCGACCCCTTGACTGTGCACTAGAGGAAACTGACGTCCTATCTAGGCTAGTTTGCCAGTGTTTGGCCAGTGAGGGACCAGCAGCCATCAATGGGTTCTAGGGGTTTGTCTAACCTTACACTGCTTGGTTTAAGGAAGTTAGGTGTTCTAGAAGGTTCTCTGGTGCTTTAGGGAGTCTGGGGAGAAGGACCAGCCTGCAGTGGGTCTAGTCTTCCCAGTCGATGCTGATTGGGCCTCCACTCAGTGTCTGACGCTGCAGCCTGGCCCAGTCCTCAGCAGGTCCGGCCTCACGTCGCAAGCGCCGGTGGCAGCCCTGGGCACAGCGGGATTGCTCATCCAGCATCCTGCAGACCAGGACCTGGCAGTGCAGAAACACCTCCTGGAAAGAGGGTAGTGATCCTTAGTACAAACAAGGGGCCTGCTGCTGCCATGGGTCACCATGACGGCAGATGCAGGACACTGTCACACACTCACTCACTCCAAAGAGCAATCATAAGGCAGGTGCTTCATCCCATCTTACAGATGGGGAAGCTGAAGCACATAGGGTAGGCTATACACTGGGTTGGGACAAGAGATGGGAATAACAGGGGGTCCTGTAGAACAAGTCCTTTCTTGTTTTTTTTTTGTTTTGTTTTGTTTTTTGGGTTCAGTCATGGGGCCTGAACTCTGGGCCTGGGCACTGTCCCTCTTCAGCTCTACCACTTGTGCCACAGTGCCACTTCCGGCTTTTTTTCTTTTTGCTTATATGGCACTGAGGAATCGAACCCAGGGCCTCATGCATGCAAGGCAAGCGCTCTACCACTGAGCCACCTTCCCAGCCCCAGGCCAAGTCCTTTTTAGAAAGAGCAGCCTCAGGCTTCTTCTAGAGAGGCTAATGACAGTCATGCTTGTCAGCAGCTGGTCTGTGAAAGTGGCATGCTGCACGGGACACACACACAAAGGCAGGGTAAGAAAGATGTCTGCCTCTTAAACTTCCTTTGTTCCAAATGACTCACAACTGTGACAAGGACAACCAAACTTGCACCTTGTCACTGTGGCCCTCCCTGCACAGCCTCATAGCCTTTATCCAAGGAGATAGCAGTGGATTTTTAATGCATGTTTTATATGCACATACATTGTTACGACGGTTTTAACTGTTGTAACGGGCTTTTTTCTTTCCCATGTTTATCTGCTTGATAGTGCATCAAATTAGTATGTTATATGGACTCCTTAGGTCTATTAGTTTGGGTTTTTTTTTCATGGCCTCCTTAAGACAATACAACATACATATCCACTTTTTTTTTTTTTTTTTTTTTGGGTCCAGTCATGGAGCCTGAACTCTGGGCCTGGGCGCTGTCCCTCAGCTCTTCAGCTCAAGGCTAGCACTCTACCACTTGAGCCATAGCGCCACTTCCGGCTTTTTTTCTTTTTGCTTATGTGGTGCTGGGGAATCGAACCCAGGGCCTCAGGCATGCAAGGCAAGCTCTCTACCACTGAACCACCTTCCCAGCCCCATATCCACTTTTTTTAAACTTTGTTTTTGAGAAACTTATAGGATTGGAATTAGTAGATAAGAGAATTCATGACTTAATGACTATTATTAATGATTTATTAGATATTGTCATGTAGCTTTCTAGAAAGTGTGTCGATTTACACAGATATTGTAAGCTTCTCTTTAGAATCTTGAAAACATTGCAATTCATAATTTTTCTCAATTTAATATGCAAAAAGTGGTATCTTACAATTGGTTTTTGTTGTTATTGTTGTTGGTTGTGCGGCTTGAATTCTGGGACTTGAATTCTGAGCTCTTCAGCTCAAGGCTAGCACTCTACCATTTGAGTCACAGTGCCACTTTGGGTTTTCTGGTGGTTTATTGGAGGTAAGAGTCTCACGGACTTTTCTGCCTGGGCTGGATTTGAACTGCAATCCTCAGATCTCAGCCTTCTGAGTAGTTAGGATTACAGGCATGAGCTATCAGCGCCCCACTACAATTGGCATTTTAAAGCCAATTTTCTCTTCCCATTTCATTATTTGTCTTTTCTGTTCATTTCTTGTCTATGCAACTGACTGCCCCACTGGCTTTTCTCCCTCGTTTCCTTCTTTCTCCTCCTTCCCTCCCTTTCTCCCTACCTCTTTTTCTTCCTCTTTCCTCTCCTTCTTTCCCTCCTTCCCCCACTCTTCTCTCCAGGTTCTTTTTTTTTTTTTTTATTTTTTTTTTTTGGTCCTGGGGCTTGAACTCTGGGCCTGGGCGCTGTCCCTCAGCTCTTCAGCTCAAGGCAAGCGCTCTACCAATTGATCCACAGCGCCACTTTCGGTTTTCTTGTGGTTAATTGGCAATAAGAGTCTCACTGACTTTCCTTGCCCGGGTTGGCTTTGAACCACGATCCTCTGATCAGCCTTCTGAGTAGCCAGGATTATAGGTGTGAGCCACCAGCTCCTGGCTCTCCAGGTTCTTGTTATGAGCCCCAGGCCACCCCCAAACTCAAGATCTTCCTCTTTGTCTCTGCATGCTGGGATTATAAGTGTGCATCACCACACCTGCCTCCACACTGGCTTATTCATTGTATCTGCCAATAAAGATTTGAAATTATTCTACGGTGTTTCCTTTGAATAGCTCTGCTAGTGTGTGTGTGTGTGTGTGTGTGTGTGTGTGCATGTGTGAAGTGGGTTAACTGTGACATGCATGAAGGTGGGAAACCTCTCCACTGGTTTCACCATATTCTCCCAGGGGTCCTGCAGACTCTAAGCACAGATTCTTAAAATGTCAGCATTCTGGGACACAAAGAAGGTCTAGGGTTAATGAGGTAAAGGTGTTTAGCTCACCTTATGATCTTTGCCCACAAACTTGAAGACGGGGACCTGGAAATGCTTTACGAGGTGATCTCGGGATGAGTACTGCTTCACTGAGTCATCTGAAACACAGCTGAAAGCAAGAGAGACAATAGGTGAGACTGATCGTTTCCACAGAGGTGGAAAAACAAGCTTGAGCCTCACATCTGGCCTAAGGGAGAGGTGGAGCAGCTGGGGTTCCCCAGCTACCTGAGGAAGGAAGGAAAAAAGAGATTCCCGAGGATATGGAGACACAGTCCTCCCCCATGGGGCATCTTAGGCTTGCCCAGCAACCCCTGCTAGGTCATCATCACCATTTGTTTCAGTGTCCCATGT